CCCTCATCCGTCGGCGTTCTAGAGAGCACAGGTTCAGGGAGTTCAGTCTTTCCGAGCAGCTGTGTCGTTTTAGACCCTAGACCATCCGGGTTGCTAGCCGCTGAACGTCTGCTAGAACTTTGATGTCCTTCCAAAGATACGGTGCCCAAGCCAGAACACAGTACTCGAGGAGAGGCCTTTCGATGGCTGTGAACAGGGGCATGAATACACTAGAACAACGGTTGGTGATTGCCGTTCGGAGTCTAAATAGAGCTCGCCTGGCTTTTAAGGCTGCTGCTAGAGCAGTAGAGGACGAGGAAAAGGTGTTGGAGACTCTTATACTGAGGTCCATTGCCTCTGATTTGTAGGCTAGGGTGGCATATGCTCCAGCCGTAGTGAGGATCTGACGAGGGACGGATGCGTTATTTTGGCTAGCAGATAACTCTTCAATGCGTTGAGTGGGAGGTCCCATTTTTGCGACAACCTGCATATCTTTAAGGTATCACGCTATCGTCCGGGTTTCCAACTAATTTGATGTCATCCACGTACGGAAAGCAGGGGTTCTCCAAACCTGAAGTTATGTCTTTGACACACACTAGAAAGAGAAGGGAAGCTAAGAGTTCAGTTTGCACAGGACGGAAGTGGTCGAGAACAATCGTGCTTTCGGATCGTTGTGTTGTCAGATTGTTTCCTTGGCTACCAATCCTGCTCGTCAAAAGTTCATTCTGCTTGTTGCTGAAAGGCAGAATATTTAGGTGCATTATCTCACCCAAGAGACCTCCATCGTGCCACGTAGCGCTGCATCCCCGTTTGAGTCTACATTGTTCGCCAGTAGCTGACACTTGGAAGGTTCAGGAGTAAATCCCATCGAGCCGACCAGCTGCGAACTGCATCTAGGTCCTGGGTTAAGTTCTCATCCGCTATCTTCACATCGTCTGCAAAGATGAAGCAGGGGTTGGGCACTTCTAGCGTGAGATCGTTGATGAATAGAAGGGGCTCGAGAACAGAGCCTTGGGGCACCCTGTTTGTAACCCTCCCTGATCGCGAAGTGTAGCTTCCAACCCGTTATGTGAAGCTACGGTTGTTAAGAAAATGCTTCAATCACTGACAAGCCAAACCGACTATATCAAAAGTTGATAGCTTCATGTCCAGCAACGTAAGACTCACCGAGTCAAAAGCCTTACTGAAGTCTAAGTAACATACCTCCACTGCCCTACCCTAATCTAATCGACGTGTAGTCCCGTCGAGAAACATAATTAGATTAGTTAAGCCCGACTTATTCCTGGTAAACCTGTGCTGTGCAGGAGATAGAAGTCCATGGGTCACCAGGTGCGCACATATTTGTTTTCTGACTACACGTTCGAGGCACTTGCACAGCACTGACATTAACTCACCGGCCTGTAGTTTTCCGCCTTCTGTCTAGACCCCGTCTTGTATATTGCTACCACGGTTGTCTTCCGCCAGTCCTCTGGCACTACCCCGGAGTTCAGTGATGCCTTAAACAAATCAGTGACAGGTCCTGGTATGAACTCAGCTAGTGGCTGGACAATAGCTGGGTGGATCTCATTCGGACCCGTCCCCTTATGCTTGGACAGGCTTTTGAGCTCGGCTCGTAACTTCTCCCCACTCACGATTAACATCTGCAGGTCGTTTCCAATGGTATCCACCAGAGGGTTCCAGGCTCCATCACACTGGGAAGAACGATAGATACTTTTGAAGTAGTCCATCAGCGTCTCATCTCGGTCCTTATCTGTACTGGCTATGTTACCGTTCGCCATCTCCAAGGTTCCAACACTTGCACGTGTGGTTCCCTTGAACTGTACATAAGCAAAAAACCTCTCAGGTTTTGTTTTGATGTCTCTTGCTAGTTTGTTTTCGTACTGGTGCTTAGCTTCCCGCTGCATTGTCTGTGCTTCATTTCTGGGCAGCTTGTAGTTGACCCAAGGTCAGGTCAAGTCAGGTCGGGTCACAGGACTTGCGGCTGACGCCAATTTGAGTCCAGGTTCTTGCACCGTGAGCTTATCGTTTGCCTACGTGTTTCGACAATGGAGAATCATTTGCGAGCCGATTTTGGGATCTCCAAAGTCGATCTGGGCAACTTTTCGGTCCAGGTGCTACTTCTGTGGCTGATACAGTACAAGTCTGAGGAGAAATGCATGCAGAAAAAGAAAATTAAAAGAAAGCCTGCAGTCTAGGTATGACCTAGCTGAGCGGGTATGTGGGACGAGGCAATGCTATACCCTAAAAGGTTTCCTCATTTTGCGATTATTTGGATGCATCCGACAGGGTGCAAAATACGCTTGTGGAGGATATATGAGAGGACGCATTAAGGTAAAGTGGATGGTATGGTAGGTGAAAGCATTTCAGGGGTTCCCGTTCTAGCAGATTTGCGTCTACCTATGGTCTGTCGTCCGATTTGCCCGAGTGCTCTTCCATTCAACAGACTCCGCGTCACTTGTGTTCGTCTTTCAGCACACACATTAAGATAAGCTCATGAGCCGATTGTGCCCAGGTTGCCGGGGCACTTCGTATGGTGGTGGTACACAACAGGTACCCTTTTGGTTATTGAGCCATCTGAGTCTGTCTACAGCACGGTAGCATCGCTGACCCTATCAGGTTCCCAGAGCAAAACGTACCAGCTGCAGTCCATCCAGGGCCCCGCCTAGACCCGATCTAGGAGAATGGTGGTTGTTGGTATAGTGCCCCTCTGTTCCCTCATCTACCAGTTTCAGCTGCAGTCCATTATTGGTCAAAACAGTTGCGTTCCTTTTTTCATCCTAATTAAACCTATACCCATCACCTCTTATTTATCTCGCTATCGTCTCTCCATTAGGTCCATATTAGGGACAAGGCCGGTGCTGAATTGGAGTATAGAGCCGCCTCGGTGATTCGTAGTTGGGTTTGTTGTCCCTAACTCCGCTCACTACAGGCCTTCTACCATTAGTGTATCAACTTCCCTGCAGCCGTTTGGTCTCACAGTCGTTCTGATAAGAGGTACAAATGGGGCTCACCGTCCTCACCTGTCTCTCCTGACCTTTGTAAGGCTTGGGCTAATTTCGGAGGACAGTACTTTATGCCGTGATGCGCCTTCCACCTATGCAGGGTCAGCGATGCATATCTGCCTGCATGCACACCATCATGCCTCTCACAGGCTTATCGCCAGTCAGTTCTTAATCATGATATGAACTCAGGAGCAAACGGTGAGAGATTTAAGAGTAGAGCACACCGGGCTTCAGAACGGCCAGACCGTGGATAAAACCTCTCCGATTATACGGCTAATTCTGGGAATACCGCCGACCAATTTTTGTCTAACTTGGGCTAACGTTGGTGCTGCGACCACCTCTTGAGGCAGTTTATTCCAATGGTTAATTACTCTATGAGCGAAGAACTTTGCTCTGATGCTTCTGAAAGCCCTTGGCTTCACCAATTTCTACTCGTGGTCTCTGAGAGCCGAGTTTTCACTGCATCTGAGGAGAACCCTGTTCGTGACCGTGCTCCCCTTTATTTGTTTATAGGCTTCGATCAAGTCACCACGTAATCCTCTCCGTTGTAAGGAGAGTAAGTTTAGTCTCCTTAGCCTTTCTTCATACGGCAACCCTCTCATACCAGCGACCATCCGAGTAAACCTGCGTTGTACCCGTTCTAGAGTTTGTTAATCCTGAACCAGACTTGGAGCCCAAGACTGAATGCAATACTCTAGATGAGGCCTTACCAGAGTTTTGTACAGCGGTAGCAGTACTTTTGAGTCTCTGGAGGCTACTGTCTTTAGGAGTTGGAACAGTGCTCGATTTGCCCTTAATGCAGCAGCTATACATTGGCCGGAGGTTTTAAAGTTCTCGCTTACTTGTACACCGAGGTCCTGGACCACTGTAGCTCTATCGATTTATTGAGAACCGGAGGATCCCAAGAACCTTTCACTGGTATCTTGATCCAGTAGAAGCTGCCTGCACTTACTTACGTTCAGTGGTAGCTCTCAGACAGTTGCTCAGTTTTGAAAAAGGTCCAGATCCCTTTGGACTACTTCTGATTCCAGAGACCCTACCCTATGGCAAACAAGAAACTGGGATAGTGCAGCCTCTGCGTCAGGTCGGTTTAATATCCAATATCCAATGTCAGTCAGTCAGCTTGCACAGGACAGATGACCGCGGCCGATCGAGCGTCCAGAGTTCCTTCAGTAGTAAACCACGTGTTGACCCCTGCCACTGCGAGTGTTCTATATTGTTGTTATGCGCGTTTTCTTCTCCTACCAATCGTCTCCACCTCCGTAAGGGAAGAGAAAGGAAAAAAATCTTCTCCCCTTGTTCAGGCGAGAGACCTCACATTTGGAAGCGCTCCCCTATTTGGGGTGGTTAGTAAATAAAAAAACCTAAAACTTCTACCAGACCTTTAACTATGCATCTACTTCAGGGAATAAGTTCAACCAGCGTTTATCAAGCTCCTTCTTGAAAGCATGTACGCTCCCCAGTTCCACCAGCTCCTATGGTAAATTATTCCATGAGTTGACTAACCTGTTGCTGAAGAAGTTTGAACTGACCGCTAGTCTCGTGCGCACTTTCTTCAACTTGTACATGTGCCCCCTAGTATTGCTTTGCATCCTCTCGAAGAATACTGCTTGATTCGTCCCTGATAGACCATGCATAATTTTGAATGCATCTATCAAGTCACTTCGGAGTCTTCTTTCTAAGGAGAAGAGTCCAAGGTCATGCAGTCTCTGCTTGTACGACTTCCCCCGATGTCCTTCAATCATCCTTGTGGCTAATCGTTCGATCTCCTCGAAACAAGCGGCGTCCTTTTTGAAGAAGGGATCTCAGGCTTGTATACAATACTCTAAGTGCAGTCAAACAATGGCCTTGTACGGAGGTACGAATACCTCCTGTTTCCCACATGTTAGTGCCGACCTCAATCTAAAAAGCTCTCAACGGGTACGGTGCGCCGCTGCGGCGCACTGTTTTGCCCATTTGTAGTCTACTGTCACTATGATTCCTAAATCTCTAGCTTTCTGGGTTGTTCCTAGTGAAAGACCGCCATGATTACTCCCCACTATCAGCCCCTCGTCTCCAGTGGTCAAGACATGACTCTTTCCTATGTTGAGAGGCAGATCCCATGTACTTGACCACCTGAGCACTTCTTCTATGTCCCTCCCTAATTCATCTCTCCCATTTGATCCTACCACCTTGACGTTATCCGCGAAAATATAGCTAGGCGAGCCTAGTCGTTCAGGCAGATCATTGATGTATAGCGGGAATAGGAGTGGACCTAGAACTGATCCTTGAGGAACACCACTAGCAATAGTTTCCATTGACGAGTTCGCTTCTCCGACCCGAACCACGAAGGCCCTATCGGCCAGGACAGCTGTAAGCCACTTGTGGATGTTACCCCTTATTCCTAAAGCATGCATCTTGGCCAAAAATAAGCGATGACATTACTGAGTCAAATGCTTTGCTTAAGTCCACGTAGCGTACTTCCACTTGCTTACCCTCAACTAATCTCGCTGTGACTTCATCTGAAAAGTGCAACAGATTGCTAAGATAAGATTTTCCCTTCAGAAACCCATGCTGTGCCGCAATCAGCAACCGGTATTTAATGAGGTATTCGCAGAGGCGGGTTCTAATAATTTTTTCATGCGCTTTTCACAAGATGTTTTTGAGACTAACTGGATGGTAGTTTTCTACCTTGTGTCTCGGCACTCTCTTGTTCATGGTGACCACAGTTGCTGTTTTCCAGTCCTGTGGTATCCTGCCCTGTTCTAGAGTGTTGTTGTACATGTGGCAGAGTGGGCATCCTAGATCCTCAGCTATGTGTTAAACTAAGGCTGGGTGGGTGCCATCTGGTCCTGCGAATTTGGTGGAGTTAAGCTCACCGAGTCCTGCGTACCTGCGCCAGCCCCACGTTTAATTCGGGGATATCTGATCCATCAGTGCGGAGGTCAGGTTGTGCAGTGACGATTTGATATAACCTGTGCAGGTTTCTGAAGTATTCCTCAATTCGCACTCTTATCCATCTCTCGGGCTACTACTTCTCCATCGTCCAATATCAGGGGCCCTACATTTCCACTGAGCCCTCGCTTGGATTGGACATAACGGAAGTACCTCTTTGGCTGATATTTGGCACGACTGGGCAACTTGAGCTCAGATTGCCATTTGAGCTGGCGCTGAATTGCCACTGCTTTGTTTCTATCCCTGGTGTACTGCGCCCAGGATCGGTGGCTGCTCGTTGATCTAAAAGTGTGCCAGCTAGAATTTCTACGTTGTATCGCTCTTCTAATCGCTGGACTCCACCAAGTTGGTTTGTTTTTCGCTGCCCTGGGTTTTAGGGGAGCAAATTCATCCTGCAGAAGCAAGATATTTGCCTTAATCCGGCCCCAATGCTGGTCTAGAGAGTCGTTTTCATGGATAGGGGCCCACACCAGCTCCGCAGCTCGGGCCTTTAGTTTTGTCGCATCTATCCTCCAGTGGTTCCTGGACATCCTGAAATTACTCCTACGATGCATGAGACTTATTGATGTGGTGAGAACGACTTGGTCGCTTTTACCTAGAGGTGGATGGAGGGTGACATTTGTCACATCCCTCTCCCTCGTTGTAATTAGTAGGTCCAGAACAGATGGTCTATCGCCATCTCCGTACCTGGTGCATTCCCGGACATGTTGCTGTAGGGCCCTCGAGTGCATCTATTCTTAGAATGCAGTCTCCGGTGTTCCTGTTGGTGCCCGCTTAACCTCCCAATCGATTTTTGGGAAATTGAAATCTCCCAATATACAAACTCCTTGTGTCCATATAAGCCATCTAGGTTGCATAGAAGTGCCTGGTCCTCCCCGAGTGTGCATTCCGGGCTTCTGTAGACTCCTGATATGCTAACCCTCATCGAAGTTAGAACCAACGAAATTGAGCACACCTGAACATTTCGG